TACGCCTAAAGAATAACGCAATAGTTGTAGTGCAGTTTTTGGGTGTCGTATCCACAGGGAGATTGAAGAATATTTAAATGAACAAAAATGGTTGAATTGTTCTCTCAAATGTGTAATAAAATTCAATGTTGAAAGGTGAAATTAAAATCAATAATTCGAAACAGTGAAATGTTAGAATTCCCTCAATTGGATTGGATCAATCATTCATTTTTATAACACAAGTAGAGGCTTTCATCCCAACACTCTAATCGAAAAATATATCGTGAAAATCAATTTAATTTACAAATGTAATTCTTGAATTTAGACTTAAGACATATTCAAGTAATTTTATTGGAACAAGATCAAAGATCGACCATGTACATCAAGCATAAGAAAATAATCGATCCGCCAATAAAGTGAATTTGAGATTAAAATTCAACAACTAGTTTAATCTAGCGATAGAAGAAGCATGAATGGATCTATGGAGGATATAATAATTGTTAAACCAATCTCAACAACAAATATTTGAAATTGAAACTCAATAAATAGTTCGATTGAATAATGAAAAAATTATAACTAAATCCATGAAAAATCTTGTAAATATTAAACCGATTTCAATAAAAATTCAAGAGAATGAAAATCTAAATTCTAGTATTGTTTGACAATGAAAAGATCAAATTAAATGAATAAAAGACATGAAATCACCAATTTCAACCGAGTTCCTTCGTAACTTTACCAAGGGTTTTAGTTCTCCATGAGTTTCTTGAGCCAAAGAGGGGAAGAATGGTGTATGGGGGCCTCCTCCACATGTATTCTGCTGTTAAGTATTTATAGGAGTCGGATATTGGATGAAAATCACGTCCAAATTGGTTTCCAAAAGAGTTGTTATCAAATAAGGAAAGTTTCCTTCGTGAATGGATTTTTTGTCTCTACACAGTAGTCAATAATTTGGTTATAACTTTCTCTTCTGATATTCGATTTAGAAGATTCAAAATGCGTTGGAAAGATAACTCAAAGAGCTACAACTTTGTTAGAAATAGATACTTTCCCATTCGGACTTTTACTATGCGAAAAATGGGTCTCATTCTTCGGCTAAAAATCTGGAATATATATTGTGCGGGTTGGAAATTGATTTTGATCATATTCCATTCATTTTTGACTTCTAATTGCTTCCAATCGACCCTTAGCATTCTCGAACCTTCATCGTGAGCCCCGACATAATTTTTGAGTATTTTCACTTTAGTCCCTGAACTTTCACTTTCTTCAATTTTTGTCATTTTTCACTTGTTTCTTCTTATTTCAACTGCATTCTTCATTCGTCCTGCAAAACATAAATTACATAGAATTAAGCTATATTCCAACATATTAATCAACAATTGCTCTTATTTTGACAGTCAAATAAGTATGTAAAAACGCACTTATCAGGGGGCACGCCCCCTCCACCCCACCCCAACTTTTGAATTTTTTTTTTTTTAAAGTTATGTTTGGTATTGATTGAACTCTAAATTTTAATCTAAATCAAAATTAAAAATTAACTCTAATAACATATTTCATAGAATGCATAACTATTTAACTTTTATCAAAATTTACTAAAAATTTGATTTTAATTTCCACCAAACAGGAGCAAAATCACAATAAATTTGAATATCGATAACAAGCTAATTTTAAAAATTCTCCAATGCTCGTACGCTAATCGAATATACAAATAGTTTATATCATCTCAAAACTTATTTCAAAAACTACATTATGGGCATATCGAATAATCCAAATAAATTTATAAAAATTCTCCAATAATCGTACACGAATCGAATCTACAAATTGTTTATGTCATCTTAAAGCTTATTTCGAGAATTACATTATGGACATATCGAATAGTTTAAACATATATCGAAAATAATTAAACGCAAGTCTTAAAGAAAGACGTCTAATTCGCATTAAAAAAAAATAAATTATTTCATTAACATTTATTATTTTTGAGATACAAATTTCTCAATGTAATTTTTGTCATTTTATTAGGAAATTTTATATGAAATATGACATCAAAAATTTTCGGATGTAAAATTTCGAATGCAAAATTACATGTAGTATGATTTTTTTGGACGTAAATTTTCGATTATAAAATTTCTCCCAACTTCTTTGCAATTTCGATTGTGCTCCCTAACTTTAAACTTCTGCGTCCGCCACTGAATATTATCTAGCATCATTTGTGCTAGAACATCATATGACCATGTTTGATAGATTCAATTAAATGAATCACGTGAATTTATAATTTAATATCATATAGTCACCTAGACCGATGTTGGTACCAATAATGCTGAATAGCATTATTCAATAGTAAGGACAAGAATTTGAGGATTTTCTTTTAACATACATATGACTTGTACATTCACTTTCTTTGTGTCGATGCTTTTATTTATCACAAAATATTTCTAATTGTTTTATAATTTGCTCAAGTTCTAACTAGTTAACCAAAGAATTAACATACTAAAAGTTGACATCCGATTAGAGATTCGCCGACTAATGAAGCACGGACTTAACTTTGAGTTTCAATTTCGATTGTTTAAATACCAAAGAGTAGGTCTAAATTAATACAAGTTTGACTCTTGAGAAGGTTTTGGATGCATAAGGTCAAGGATAGATCACGACTAGAGTTGTCAAATTTAGCCCAACGCATTCAAAGAGAAGCTCACATGTCAATTAGAGTTGTCCGCTACTCGCTGTGTAACACCTTCTCAAGTTTAACTATCGAGAAGATTTTAACGGCGTAATTAATAAGTTCGAGTGATGATAACAACTAGAGGTGTCAAACTAGCTCAGATCCAATTCATTCAAATAAGAACTTTACTACGCGTACACAAAATCTTTACAGGTAGATGTGTGCATTCATCTGAATTTCAATACACACATGCATATGTAATACAATCTGTACATATTTGAATAAAACTATTTGTACATAACTTTTCTTACCGAAAATGTTACATCCTCTAACATGTGCGTGAGGCTCGCGTGAATAAAAAACTCTCAAAAATGTGGTCCCCATACCATATTGTGAGTGTAGGTAAAAGATTGGATGAAAAAAATTATGTACATGTAGTAGTCCCATATTCGAATAAAACTATATAGATAGAATAATCCTTCAAATAAAGTCGATTAGAGCTGTATGGGGCCCGCAATTTAACACTTCTAATCACTACCTCAATCATAATCTTCTTGACGACATATTACAATAATTGACGGTAGAGGGTCCAAAAGAGCGTCGATTTTTCTCACTCGATATGAGCAAAGGGACAAAATAGCACACGGCGAAAGGCATCAGGACCAGGAGCAATTTTTTCTCTCCAAACTTTAGAACAATATTCTAAGCACAATGTACAACTATCTCGAACACAGGTCGCTCTGTCATTATAAATTTTGCCCTTTCCTTCTCCGACAGGGAATCACGAATTTACTGTTGCATATTTAGCAAACTTTAGAAAAAAATAGTTAATTCTTCTAATGGTCATTAATGTTCAAGAAAAAATTCAAATTGGTCATTATAGATTTTTGTGATCCATTTAGTCACAAAATTAACTTACACTACATAATTGGTCACATCATATATGCCATAATAATTGTTAAATCTTTACGTCAACTAATAAACAATCAAAAATAAGGTTAGAATTAAGTGAGCAATTTGAGATTTCTTATCTGAAATCACGTTTACTTTTAAGATCTATAATCCTACGATATAGACACAAAAAAGTTTTAAAGAGATGACATTGAATTTGGGGTCGATGATGCAAAATGATTGAATTTTTTTCTCAAACTCATTTTTAACCATAAATTTTGTAGGATTTACAACTTTTATCAATGTTTTAATTACGTATTTCATCAACTTTTTTTTATCAAAATCTACTAAAAGTTAATTTTTATCTAAATCAAGCAGGGGCTTTAGCTTTAGTAACTACTTGAGCAATAAAAATACTTTAATGATCAATTTAAAATATTTCTTGAATTTCAGTGACCACTTGTGAAATTAAGTCCTAGGAAAAAAACACAGTTACACAGTTCCGCGCATTCTTCTCTTCAAGTACTGGCACAAGATTTGTAAAAAAGGAAAGATCAAGACTCAACAATCTGTAAACAGAAATGGAAAACTGTTACTTTCAATACGGCGTCGTGGCATACATTACGATCGTCACAATTATCAGTCAATCGGACGGCAGGGAGCTCCGTCCGTCGGTCCACGGCTTAGTCTACCAAGATTCTTCACCACCGGTAAAAGCCAACGGAACCAAAGAAATGCTATATTTCTTCGGTGCGACGAAGTTGTCACCTCCCATACCGCTGCCAGAGGCCAAGAATTTCACCGATCCGGCCACATGGTGGAGCAATCACGCGGTTGGGAGATCGCGTGGAGATCACGTAAAGAGGTCCTTGCTTGTTGCCAGCTTAATCTGTGGACTAACGGGCGTCGTATTGCTCTCCGTCGCCGGGATTCTATTTCTCCTTCGCCTCCGAAAGCAGAAGCAGCAAAACTCATCACCCTCGACAGCTCCAACTTCTGCACCTAATGCTTTTGCTCATAAGTAGTTTGTAAGTATTACTGTATTAATTTACACAATGCAGATTAATTAGTGATATGTCTGTTGTATGCTTCAACAAATTTCGTAACTAAACTTCATAGTATCACTGAAATCGATCTTCAATACAGCATGAAATTTATTTCTGAATATACCTATAGGAAGAAAAAAGAAAAAAATAAAGTAGAGAATTTACATATATTGTTCAAGAGCCATCCACTCTAGCTCCATTTCTAATTCTCCAGATTCTACATTCTGGAGCTTCAATGATAATTCCTGTTTCACCTTCCCGTCCACAATGTTTACTGTGCTGTCTTCCATCAGGGCATTGTCGTGCGACTTCAGCCATTTTCCAATCTGCATGTTTCCGAACATTCCAGCATCTCCGAAAGCCATTGCAGAGGTTATTATTGGCTGAATATCTATTTCGGCTTCCCCCATTATATCGTCAGCAGAGAACGTGTCGTGATCAAAAACTTGCTGTGGTTTGAAATTTAGAGAAGTCGAAAGGTTAGATATAATGTAATTTCCATTAGTAGTTGATGGCTCATGATTGTTACTACTTACTAATTTGTTTTCCTGATTATGAAAATGAATAAAGAGAAAAGAGCTGCAAGAGAAGGATCACCAATTTTATCGGGCCACAATTTTGTGGAACTGAAAGCATGAGTTCCTCGTTCCAGACGGGATTCAGATTGCTCTTAACCACAGTTGTTTGTGCTTTCTAATAACAGAAAGAAACAGCATGAGAGAGCTAAAAAATCTTGACAAGATATTTACAGCAGCCTAAGAATCTAATTTGGAATTTTAGCTTTAATCAGATAGGGTAGGTGCGTCCAGTTTTTTATGGTTTGGGAAGTTGTCTCTCAGGGAAAAAGCAAGCCTGCTTATGAGAATAGGAAGGACTTGTTGCTTTTTACGGGGAGGCAACTCTTGTTCTTCTTTCCTAGGTACGTCCGAAGGGAAGAGGTGTTAACCAGCATTAGTCATGAAATCAGAATGTATATGCAGATCTAGATCAGATGGCAATAATTTCACCAGCATTGTTACTCTTTTTATTGCCCACAACATCGAATAAAGCGAGAGATCTACTAACCTGCTGCCCCAGGTTCAAAACGACATATGGATCGCTAGATAGTATATCTCGAATAGCTAAGTTTGTGCCTTTAAGTACTTTGACCTTCAGCATTCCAATAATTTCCACCATGCCTTCCTGTGATCAGATTGAACATTAGCTTCACAGAGACTTAATCACTTGAACACCAAGACAGTGTAAAGACTGCATCATGTAGATGAGATTGTTCTGTCTCAATTAGTTTTTAATTTCTTCTTAAATGGTATCTGTTATACATAATTTATTAAGAGATTCATGTGAAGAGAGGCAGCATGTAAACCATAATGCAAAAATCTGTGTTCATCAAATCAATTATGTTTGTTGTAACACCAAAACGAAAAGTATGTGAAACAAAAAGGAAGGGAGATACAAACTATCAAAGAGAACTTACTGATTTCTTTGATGAACTCGAGCTTCGGAAACTATCCAAAATCTTCCTGGATAAACTTACTTGCAAAGAATTCTTTTTAGAAGTTGACGTAATACGTAGGCTAGGTTTCAAAAACTCTTGAAGCTCATACTTAGACCTACAAAGTTAATACTGAACAACATAAATATCCCACCTGAAAACACTGTCACAGTTGCATTTATGTGTGCAGTCTAAGTGTGAATAAAGTTCTTTTATGGTTAGGACCTTCAGTGAAGGTATAAACAGATCATCCAACAGATGAAAAAAAAAAGCATTTGAGAGCTCAGAACAGGCAAGTTGATACTAATGTATGATCAGAGAAGGAGAGTGAGAGAACCATCATATCTAAAAATCATAGTGTTTATAAATTTCATCTGACCTGATAAATTTTGAACGCTGTTCGTGGCTAGCACCTGGTCCAGGCTTTGAGACTCCTTCAGGAATATAGGCCTCGTAAATTGAATTTGCAGACGCATTTCCACCGACCTCAATCACTGATTCGATTTCATCATCTGACCATTCATCTAATGTCACAGACAAAACCTGCAGGATACCCAATTTTGTTAGTTAAGAACGTGGCCCAGAAGATGGGGGAGGGTGGCATACAGTCACCTTCGAAATATGAGTACCAAGGCTTCTGTGCACTCCGCAGCACTTCAAGCAAATAAATACTCCTATATTTGCTGACCTGAAATGGAAATAACAATTCAAAGAATTACACTGATTGGAATATATATTGTATCAAATTATTATATCAGCATAATATCGTGAATGAAAATATATTGTCATGGTTGTTCTTCTTGGCAATAAATTGCAAGGATCAAAATATATTCTTCTTCTTTAAGAACACTTGAAAATGGGAAGAGTGGGCTCGAGCCCGGACAGAAACATTGGCAAGATTGTCATCACTACTAGGCTTTTCTCACGGCTCTTATATCATTCCAACTTTAACAATCTGTGAAAACAAAACAACAGTGTAGTAACTTACGCCCATTTTGGGTCTGGAGCATTACAATCTGCACACGCACGATTGTCGCGTTGAACCAAGAGATCTTTCAATCTTCTTTTACCTGTACAGACAGTGCCGACAAAAAGAATAAGGAGAACTTACAACAAATCTACAATATTGAAATGGGATGATGAAATAGATAAAAAAAAAAAAAAATAGTTTCATGTATTTTATTTTTGCCACGAGTCTACATAAATAATTAAATAAATTGGGATAATCTATCTGGTTAAATGATCAGCATTTGCATGTTAGCTATTGGTCCTGAAATGAAACAAAATACCACAGAGTGCACGTGAATCGGCTTATAGAACTCACCCTTAAAATCGACTCATAAGGGATGACTCAACGAATCAAAGAACTCAGAAGTCAATGCCTAAAGTATGGAAGAAAAAATAATTGCAATGTAACTAAGAAATTGTATCCCACATTGCTCGTAAATTGCCTGTCTTGTGGGTTTATAAGCACGTTGGACACTCTCCCATATAAGCCGATTTTAGAACAATGGATGCATGGTATTAAACCACCACCATTTTCCATGTTCGGCGGATGCGATTTCTGAAGTCATACTAAATTTTGCCATAAATTTGCATACAAATCTCATCTGAGGAAAGTTTTTTACTAGCAAAGTTAAGTAAATCAACTCAAATTCGTGCAAGAAAACTATTGCAACGAACAGGTAGTCACTTAACCGAATGATTTCCATGAGGCATAAAACCATACCTGAAGATGGCCTCCCCAGTGCTGATTGATTGTAACTCATTGCTTTGTCAATACTCTGTTATCATTCAACTAATGGTCTTTGTTAAGAATCTACACACCAAAAAGATCAAGAATCAGAATATTCCCTTAGTGCATTGGTAATTATTTTCACCAAAATAACACGGCACAATTGATTCCTTACATAACAATCATATCAAAATTATAAGCATCTGAATATTCTGCGCATAAATCAAGCGAAGAAGAACGCAAAAGAAGATCTGGATGTATATTAACACGAAAAATTCCAAAAGTTTCATCCGAAATGAATGTCTCGTGAAAAAAGTACAGAATTAATCAATGGGTTTAATCCAAATCAAAATTGGAATTAAAAATCTGTTACATAGAACGATTCAAAAGGAATTCAATGAAACCGCTAATATTTTGGCTGAAAAGGTAATGAAAGATCCAAGAGAAGAAAGTGAGAATTGTACCTCAAGGAGAATTTCTGTGCTCTCAATTGGAATCAATAATAAAATGCATAGAGATAGAGATAGAGATAGAGATAGAGATAGAGGTATTGTTAAAATCAATAGGAACGAGAAAGTGGCTGTTTAATTTTATTTCAAATCAACGAGAATAACTGCTTTCTTTGATGTGATTATTTGTTACACGTTTTCTTATTGAAAATAAGTCGCATTTCCTGAAAGTGTTCAATGTCACGTTTAGAGAAGTAAATCGGGTCGGATTGGCTAGTCGAGAAAAGGATATCTTCGAATCTAGGTTGCGCTAAGCCTTAACGAGTCCAAAATGGGCGTTATGGCAAAAAACAAAAGAAATAAAAAGAGAAATTATATTCAATTGCAACAAATAGTGCCTCCAGAGGTTGACACCCAAACCAACCTAGTAATAAGCGATCCACCAACTGCAATCAAAATATTCCTTGATGAATTGAGGGAAAACTTGTCCCACTAGTTTACTACTACATCTAGGGACATAACTTATCCCCAAAAGAGAGGTCTTTCTTTCTAGTTATAAAATTGTTTAGGCTAAAAAGCAAGTCGAAGATGTCATAAGTCAAACGGGAGGCTGAAGTGGGATGATATTCTATCTTTCCACAGAGTGTCATCTTGTACGTAGTCCATGTATAGAAAGCATACTTGACAGAAGATAGACGTGTGTTTTACAGTGTTCATCAATTGACTAAACTCATGAAAACCCATGTCAAACCTTGTTCGAAGGACTCCTCACTAGATAGTTGTGCCCAACTTTATACTCATTGTTACATCATATTAATTTCCTTTTTAATGACTTGCATTTGGATTCGAGACAAACCTTTCTCTGCCGTTACGGAATTCTTTTGCTCTAATATAAATTTTAGAAGGTCGGGTGATTGAGGAGTTAGTATTGATTCATGTAAAGATGCTTATCTGAAGTTGGAGTAAAGAATTGTCCACCTCACGCCCGAAGAGAAATAACTCTCCTATTTTGCACGCCTACAAAAAGGGATTCCAAAAAAAAAAAAAAAACCAACAAAGGAAAGAGCGTGTCCACCTTGACGCCCCTAGTTGAATTGATTATTACACCGGGCATTATCAGGTCATTTTCTTCCCTTCAATGTTTTTTGTCCACCTCTTCATCGCGTTTTGCCTGTCCATTTTAAAATATTCATTTTTCTCCCAGCTGTATTCTATCAAACATTCAGACCAAATTAAAAAAAAAAATTGCAGAATATTTTTCAACCCTTTTCGTGTTCATGTCGTGTCAAGATAATGCACAAGAATATGCCACAAAATATATATTTTTTTACCACAAAAAGCCAATTAACACATCAAGGTAAAATAAATAAATAAATAAAATGTATCAAACCACCAAACAAATTTATTTATCGAGATAAGTAATGTAAAAATCATTCCAATTAAGCCCCTTTTTAGTGTATATTAAAATCAATTTTTTAGTAAATATTGATAAAAGTTGAAGAAATGTGTGATTGGACAATTATGGATCATATTATGCCCCTGTTTCAGCCTCATTAAATTATATTCCATTACATTAATTTTTTTCTCTCTTCATTTCAACCACACATTCATCAAATAAAATAATATTACACACAAATCTAAAACTTTTCAACCACACATTCTTCCATCAATCACTATTCTAAAAATTTTCAACCCCCAAAAATAAGGGCCAAACAGGATGTAAATATTTAGGTAATAACTTTTAATCTATACCAAACTGGGCTATGGAGTTCACTACCACATAAACCGGCGCAAAGCAACTCTAGAATTACATACGTGGACTAGTGGATGTGAGGTTTATTGTCGTCTAAATAAGTGCTAAGAACCCNTCCCACGCTCACTTTCTGGAGTCCTTATGACCGTCGATTGGCATTAGCATGTTGGATTAAGCTTACGTGTGCACGAGTGGGCCCGGCATCTGTTGGCAACATTTTTTGGGGTCAACAATTATTATTATTTATTTATTTTGGATTACAAAATAAAATAATAGGTACCAAAATATTTGTAATAATGAAACAAAAATCAAATTATTGGTACCCAAAGGATAAAGTTTTTAACTTTTCGATATTGTTTAGTATTGTACAATTTAGAATCACGTTTATCCCAATATCATAGTCAATATCATGGAGACTTGTCGAAAGAATGTGTAGTTGGGAGTTTGCGTGGATCACACGACCCTTCATTTATAAGGCAGATGCATTCAATAAGTGATTACCATTTGTGAAAATGAAGAGGAGGCTCAAGATATGAAAGATGGCAGAGTTTAAGGTGCAAAATAGTAGCTATTTGTACCCTAATAGGTGGACGAGGTGGACATGACATTTCCACTTCTCCTAATCTGAAAAGCACCTTAAATGGTGTAGACACTTATGCTCCATTTGTTCATAACCAAAAAGCACCTTAAATGGTGTAAACACTATATACTCGAAGTCAAAAACAACTAATTTCAAACCATGTCTTTTCTATATTTCTTATATAAGAGTTTTCCTGGAAACAAATTAAATAAAGTAGTTAAACTTTCATTTTTCAACTTCCAATTGTGTAGAAGAAGTTGCTACCATCTGTTGAAATTAATACAAAAACACTCCTAGAATAAAATTAGGATGACAAAGAGAGAGTACATGATATGATTTTCACGGTTTTCCAAAGCAACAGGATAGGATAACATAACCAATAAAATGGATTAAACAAGAATTGCAAGCCCTTCCTTTTTGGGAGGTGCGACTGTCTTGTTTCCGGGGAAGGCATTGCGTGAGATGTCGACCAGGGCCTTGAAGCTATATGGTTCGTGCATTGAAATCTCTGAAAGAACTTTCCTGTTGAGTTGGATGTTCTCCTTCATCAGTCCATGCATAAAGTTACCATAGTTAACCTATATGCCAAAGGAGAAAACAAGTCAGTGCCTTGTGACCTACATACATAAATAACACTGATTGGTAAATTATCAAAAAAAAAATTATATTAGACAAAAAGTTGACATTGAGGCATATAGTAATCAAATGCTACAGTTAACAAACCTAAATCTCAAACAAGAATTTAGAAACTGAAACTATCTAGCAGCTTGTCTAACTTTGAGGCTCTCACTGTAATTATAGAAAGAAAGGAGCTGTGATGGAAAAAAAATATATAACCAGAAAATCCTGACATTTTATAGAATATGTCATAACTGTCAATGACATGAAACTTGGATGACATAGTAGAAAACTTGCTTATTCACTTTGGAGCTTTGCTTGTGAGCTGAAGTAACTTAATGCCTGTCCAGACCCTCTGGCACTAACCCCAGGTTACCATCTGAAAATAATTGACTTTCCGTCCTTTTTTTCAAAGAAAAATATGACCCAAAAACAAGCAATGCAACCAATTTGACACAAGGGTTGTTTGGAGGTGAGCCTTATAGTTCGTAAGGGAAGCAAAGCTTGGGATGGCATTCTGGGTTGCTATGATTAACTGAAAAATATGGAGGTATAGAAACAGAAGTAAACTAAACTATTGAACCGTAATGAACAGTGAACACAAATTACTACCATGTTTTATCTCCAACTCCCCCATCTCCTTCGCTGCCACTTTTGGTTTTTCACATGAATGATGATATGAAAAGCATCATAGATCCATTCTAGCAGCCACCAATAATTTTTTACCAGTTCAAAAAGGAAAAAGTACAAGAATAATGTTTGAATAATGTTTGTTTATTCTTCTTTTGGTCAATGCATTAATCAATAGCACAGAAGGAGCAAAGGCTGCTTGCATACAAATTACCATTAATCTATTCTAAATGTCCTCATGCATTCATTGCGATCGTTCAGCTAATCGTAGACTAAAATAGCATTTCGCTGCATTACCAGAAGGAAGTCATACAACCCAACTGTTGTTTCACCGAAGGTGCAGTCAGCCCCATGACAAAGATATGGGTTTTTCCTAAATTGAAGTAATGAGATCACAAATTTGAAAGTAGGGTTCCTTTTGACTACAAGTTCCTCTTCACTCTCCCATAAAGAGAAGGTTTCTACTATTCCACTACTACATACTGGGTTCAGTTCAGAAGGCAAAGTCCATTAGCTGAAGATCTATCAAACTGACAGGAATTGGTGGTTAGTATCAGATATAATCTATATGGTATTTGCTTCAATAATTACATTTTATCATTTCACAGAAAACAAATACGAGTTCATATTTCCCTACAACCCTTCCATCTCTAGCATCCAGCCCTTTACTGATTCCTTTTTATCTCACTGTTAAGTAGAACATACATTTCACTTTCATTTTGTGAATAATATATATACATCTACTGCACAAATTGCCATCAGAATTTACTTTATTTTTTTAATAAATTCCATCCATGTTGAATTAGGAGTTTTTCAGATCCAACCAACCGTAAATTTTGGTATGGCACAATCCCTCACTTGTAGTTTAATATTCAAGATAAGTATACTGATGGGGGCATAGGGCCTTACCTAGGGTTTTACAGAGTAGATACAACAAAAAAATAAACTAGGGAATACTGCTACCCTTACATTGAAAGCATATAAGCCTAAGTTATCCTTCAAACACTAAATTTGGGAATACTACTCCCATTACACAGTAATAAGACATTCACCAAGATAACCTACCAAAGGCACCGACCAGTAATCACCAAGCACTTATTAAAAGCCGCTTAAGCACACCGTCGGTCCGTCACTACTCGTAATTGCAGAATTAAATTATTACACATAACATATAACATCAATACTTATAAAATATGATAACACACAAACATGCTCAAATCAGGGAGTTTTTTTGCGAACTGTTGGATACACAACTCATTGCTTGTTTATGAACTCTAAAAAATATGGCAAATTTTTCTACTTCTTTGTAAGCCTTAAAAAATATATATATAACCAGTCCATTGTTATCATTATTCCATTGATGCTACCTTCCAAATTATTGCTCAATAGTAGGTTGCTGGATTTAGTAAGATAACCTTTTTGGAAAACGAAGCTTCTGCAGTTTTTGCTCCTCTTTACATATATGTAATGAAGCCTTCCCACTTTTGGTTTATTTGAATAATGTCCTCCAACAGATAGATAACCTCCTACAATGCATTGACACGGACACAACGACGACATGTGATTTTCAAAAAAGTACTGACAGGGCACGGCATCGACACGTTGATTAAATTCTTTAAAATTCTTCATTTATATTGTATAAATTTAGTTTTATAATTGTTATTAATTTTTCTTGTTGAAATCTTTTAAATATGAGTACTTATTATTTATTGATAATATCTTTGAGTGAAAAATACATAATATTTCTGATAAAGAAAGAAAAATGATAAGGTATAGTGTTCGAGGAGTTTCGGTGTCCAACTCGTGTCCGACACAATTTTAGCCAGGCTTAGACAATCCCAGGGCACTTTCTCTCTCCTTTTTTTTTCTGCACAATGTTAGACAGGCTTAGACAATCTGTATCTACCTGTAATGGTTTACTTTGCCTCTGCTTATGTAAAGCCAACCCTCTGTGCCTTCACTTCAGCTACAAAACTAGTGCATTCATCACAAAATTCATGATAAGAAAACACGATTTTGGCCTCTTCATTTTGTACAATTCCCCCTTCTGCAATTTTTCCCATAGATGCTTTACAATATCTTATATCCATTAGTATTCTATTTGTATTCACCCAGACCAACCTTGACCACTTGTTAAAGTTTATTGGCTAGACAGCAATCCAACAGCAAAGTGGGCAGCAATTCTAGTATCTCCTTTCCAGTTTCTTTTGGTAATCAGTTTGGCCTGAACCAGAACCTTACAAGCCCTGCCATACTCCAAATATCTTTAATGCATTCATGGGGATGTTTCTAAGTTTTCAATTATTACGTTAACCGCAATGCATACAATGGGGTTAAAACTCTAACATGTCCCTTCCCTACAAATTGCCTGGAGAACCTTCAAACCTTGAAAGACTGTCCTGATGCAATCAAGAAATTACATATCCTTCCAATGAAAAATTATTAGTTTATTGTACCTAGATATATATAATAATATATGTTCATTTAGTTCTTGAATAGAAACACGCACAAACATTAGAGGTCAGCCTCTTGGCCAACATAGAGCAGACAGAGACACATCGAAATTATATCTTGTAAATGTAGGAAATTACTGCTACATTGCAACCCTAAAACAACCAAAGGCAACACTCAACCAAATACAAGCATGTCATTACTTTCACCGAACCCTATCTATTCTGGACCATTTACACCTCTAAAGCAAACAGGAAAAATTCCAGACAGACTCCTAATTTTTACATATACGATTAAACTGTATGGAATACGAAAACAGCAAAAATATGAGAAAAAACATACTCCGTGCTGTCGGGTTCCAGCGTTAATCCTCTGGATCCAAAGACCACGCATGTCGCGCTTCTTGTTCCGACGATCTCTGTAAGAGTACTGCAGAGCCTTTTCCACTCTCTCTCTTGCTATTCTTATGCAATTCTTCGCTCTTCCCCTGAATCCCTTTGCTAGCTTGAACACCTCCTTCTTGTTCATCTTCAATGCTCCTTTTACTCTCTCTCAAATTAGTCTTTTTCCTTTGTGGTTTTGTTTCTGGAACGAGAGCGTTCGAGGGTTTAGCTCTCTCTAAAGGAATGGC